TCCAAAAAAAAAAAAAAAAGAATGGAGTCACACTGCCTTAGATCCTATATCTCATGAGGAATAGGTCTGCTGGCTATACATAAAACTTTTAAATTCATGAGGCTTCTTGAATAAGAAGTTGTCAAAATAACATTGGCAATAGTAGAGTAATTTGGAAAGCTAAATTAAGATATTTCCTAAGGGTGAGTTTAGAGAAGCTTGGCTTTAATCTTCCTGAGATAAATACTTATCTTAGGATAAAGATAAAATGAAAAATTCTTAGGATAAAACCATTTTCAAACTATGGATAAGAAACCAGGGGATGATTTGTTATAGTCTTAAGGACATAGGGATATGGAGTAAAGGATGCTATTATTTTTTGAGTGAATAAAGTTTGAACTCTACTTACATGAATTTCCACATCCTCCTAAACTTTGGCCAGAAGATTCTCCTTGTAAAAGCATCTGTGGTATTATGTTCTTTCATGCTGCAAAGACAGAAACACTTTTTAAGTTGGATATTTCTTCAATCTTACGTCACTCACTCCAGTTTTATTAGTATTTTTTCATGATAATCCGCATAATGCTATATATGTGTACATGTGGTTAAGCATGTATATATACACATGTCCATTTGCACGCATCCTTATAAGATGTGAGCTTCTATTCTTGATTCTTTATTAACCAAAGAGGCTCATACATCTTCTTTAAAAGTAAGCCAAAGAGAAGCATAACTTTTTAATGCTGCAAAATTCCCCAGAGATCATATAGTTCAACATCTTCATTTTACAGATAAAGTAACTGAGGCCCAGAGGTTAAATGACGAGGCAACAATTATAGAGTACAATTTAAATGGACCTGCAGGCCTCAAAACAGCTCATTCATTGGCCTGCAATGATCCTAGTCCTCTCCTACCTGGTCTAAAATTCCCATCAGCTTTACAATGCCTGGCACTTAAAGTATTTATATCAATTAATCAACTGGGATTAGGTAAATGGAATCATTGTTCTTTTATGAACAGTGTTAAAACTGAGGCTGGAATGAAGCAAAATTATGAACTAAGCACAATTTATCTCTGATATCCCTTTTGGCCTCTTTTCCCCTGCTCTTGCTTTTTTCTTTTACAACCTCAGAGGACACTTTATCTTCTGAAGTCTGCTCCCAGCACCATTCCTACTGGGGTTTTTAATTCCCAGCAGTGACCCACATCTTCCTACATTACATCACTGACTAGGCAAACTTATGTGACATGTCTTCTATTAATCTATGTTAACAAGGCCCTGTTGTAGTAGAATACAATCTAGAGGCCACTACCATTTTCCCAATCCTTCAAATAATCTATAACTTGCTAGCATTTCAAATATTGAGTCATAATATAAGGCTCCCCATATCTACTAGCTTTAAAATATTGACCCCAATGGAGTAATTCTAGAAGAGCAATGAGTCGTAGGTAGATATGCCCCTCCCCCAAACTCAACCACTCAACAGTGTACCATCATAATTCTCCTAGTCATTACCTTTGTTTCACAACTGCTCCTAGATGTCTCCCACCAGAGCCTATCAATACCCTTTGCTCCTTGACATTCTCCTGTGTCAATTGTAAGGAATAAAGAGAATTTTATTTATTTTTTTTAGACTTATTTATTTTAGAGAGAGACTATGAGCACATGAGCAGGGAAGGGGCAGAGGGAGAGGAAGAGAATCTCCAACAGACCCAGGCTGATTGCAGAGCCCAATATGGGACTCAATCCCACAACCCTGAAATCATGACTGAGCCGAAACCAAGAGCCAGATGCTCAACCAGCTGAGCCACCCAGGT